TTGACTGTATCGTATGCCACTGATAAGTCTATAAACACAGCACCTGTTATCATCCCTTTCTCAAATGCATCTTTTACATGCTGGGTGTATGCAGAACTTGACTGGTCTGAACATAGCTTGTTCTGGCACTCGATGTTTGATACGAGGTGAAAAGCAGTTGAGAAACAAGCATTTGTAAAGCTGATAAGAATGGTATAGGAGTGACATTGGCCCTAACATCAGCAATTTGAAGCAAAATCTCTAGAACAACTTTGGTAAACCTCCTTAAACGACACCCTTGATTATGTAAGTTTAGTTGGCAGAAGAATGGAGAGCAGCACAAATTGCAAAGCTAAATCCAGTTCTCTTCAATGTATTTAATGTTTATGGGCCTTTGTACACACCACATAATTTGCCTTTAAAGCAGCTTAAAGGCCCTTTTGCACCTAACGAAGGACCTCTTATTGTCCTTGACTCCTGTGGCTAACCTAAACTCAGTCACCACCTTGTCTTTCCTGATCACTTCCCTACAAGTGCTGGCCATTAGCATATAGTTCTCCCTGAGGACCATCCATAGCTTCCACTGTTCATACACCTCTTTTCTTTTTTAAGAGGACCGCAATGTCCCTATTAAGCCAGGAGGGCTTGCCAGCCCTTCTACTACCTTTCCTCTTTGCAGAAACAGTTTTCTTTTGTGCTTCGAGAACTGTATCCTTAAGCAATGACCATTCTTTGTGCACCCCATTCGCCTTCCCTTCCTGGTCTTGCATTGCCTCCCCTACTAATGCTCTGATGCATCTGGGTCACAGCAAAATAAAACATGTCCAAGGTGTTTTCGTTTGCTACCTTACAGTCGTAGAAGGAAGCACCAGGCCCCATGCAGCTCATGGGCTGTGCAGGCAGCCCATGCAGGCAGGCTCCACGGAAGGAAATAAAACAGTGGCGAGCCTGATCTTTTTTTTCCTCTCCCCAGAAGCTGCCCAAGCTGTGCAGGGGTCCAGTGCTTCCCACACAGGGATGCTGTGGGTATTTTCCAGTAAGAAAGCATAAAGAGAAAACATACATATTCACTTCTGACTTAATCTACTTGCCTACTTTGGCTGCTGAGAAGTATGATACTCTTGCTTCCCCAGTTCACTGGCACTTTAAACACCAAATGAATCAAACCACTTAAGAGATGACCATGGTTAAAACACAAGTAGCCAGACTGAAGACCAGGGTTCTAATTGCTGTAAATACTGGGAAAGCTGAACCAATCAATAGTTGCAGGGAATTTTTGCTACTGGAGGCATGGCTTAAAAAAGAAACAGCACTAATCTCAGAAATGGTTCACTCTGACTAACATTCTGTGGTTTGCCTATTATGCTTCAGGCCAGGGCTGACTAACTTTTGGCACAAGTGCCCCAAGTGGCATGGGCAGCCTGTGTGGCACATGCACACAAACTTAAAAGTTAACAAAGCAACACTAACATTTAAGCCCAAAGTTGGAAACTCATCTGCTGGCATGACAGTAAAATACAGGAACACGTCACAGACTACGCGGATCTTCAATCCACTTCCAATATTTTAAACATTCTCTTTGTACCACTCCTCTTTAACCATGTTGCAACACTACTACATCCTACTGAACACCTAACGTGGGCTAGTGCTAACTGAAGGACACCTGATTCCAGTGTAAAGTCCTTCCGGATGCACAAGGTATTCTGTCTAATAATTAATATTCAGACAACAGACTTCCCAGAAATGTCAACAGATGTAGGACAATTTGAGTACTCATAAACCAGACCAAATCACAGATGTCAATCACCAAGCAGGAAGGGGAGGGGATATGCAGGAGGCAAAAAAGGAGAAATACATCTCCCAGTTGGACCGGAATAAACAGAAAGTAGGAGAGAGGGGGAAGAGTTGCACCTGATTCTCTCAAAAGAATAAATTGAAAAGTAGGTTAATCTATTCACACACACACACTCAGCCTGTGTTTAGTTATACAGAGCCTTAAAGGAAATTACAGCAGAAACCAATGTATTAACTTTACTGAAATTCTTTTTAGGCTTCATTACATACCTCCTTGACTAGAAAAGCCTGTACACACACACACTATCAGTGAAATAACTTGTACATATGCATGCATGTACATTACTGTACTGATAATACTGTCAGACTGCAATGTCCTAAAACTCTGCTGTGATGTGATTGATACTCCTTAGAATACAATGATACTAACTGGTATTGCTAACAGACTTAATATTCATAGATGTTAGGGTCAGAAGGGACCCCCGTAGGTCATAGAGTCTGACCTCCTGCCCTGGGCAAGAAAGAGCGCTGCAGTCAGATGACCCCAGATAGGTGCTTGTCCAGTCTCCTCTTGAAGACCCCCAGAATAGGGGAGAGCACCCCACATTCAAAGCCCATTCCAGATTCTGGCAACCCTCGCTGTGAAGAAGTTCTTTCTAATGTCCAACCTAAATCTGCTCTCTGTCAGTTTGTGGCCATTGTTCCTAGTTACTCCAGGGGGTGCTGCCCTAGTAAACAGATCATCTTCCCTTCTGCCCTCCCCTGATGAATTTATAGGCAGCCACACGATCACCTCTCAGCCTTCTCTTGTGAAGGCTGAAGAGATCCAGGTCCCTTAGTCTCTCCTTGTAGGGCCTTGCTTGCAGGCCTCTGACCATACGAGTGGCCTCCTCTGGACCCTCTCAAGATTCTCTGCATCCCTCTTGAAGTGCGGCGCCCAAAACTGGACACAGTACTCTAACTGTGGCCTGACCAGTGCCGCATAGAGGGGAAGCATCATCTCCTTGGATCTGTTCGTCATGCATCTGCTAATGCACGAGGTAAACTGCAGTTAGCCTTGTTGATCACTTTGTCACATTGATGACTCATGTTTATCTTGGAGTCAGCTATGACTCCAAGATCCCTTTCTGCTGCTGTGCTGCTGAGAAGATCATCCCCCAGCCTGTGAGTGTGTTGGTGGTTCTTTTTGCCCAGGTGCAGCACTTTGACTTGTCTTTGTTGAACTGCATCCTATTTCATTCTGCCCATTTTTCCAACCTGTCCAGATCCACCTGGATCTGTTCCCTACCCTGTGGTGTGTTACCTTTGCCCCATAATTTGGTATCATCTGTGAACCTGGACAGGGTAAGCATTCTTCCATTCATATCTGGTCCTAAATGTAGGCAGCTTCACACAAAAACCTGGTTTTTACTATCTCCCAGTCTTATCAGTTTTTCTAGGTGGGGTTTAGTGGGATTTGTGCTAGCACACAGATTGTGCCACTAATTCACCAAGTCTCTGCTTGAGCAAATATTTACTTTGTGGAAGTGCCTGAGTTGCCAAGAGTAATTGTACGTAGAATAAATTCATCTTATATGCTGGCCCCAATTTTAAATCTTGTTTTTCCACTAGAGATAAGGAGGGTGAAGCCATCATAGAAGAACGCACAAATGATGCAAGTGGGAGAAACACATAAACAGGCTATGGAAGATGATATTACTGTAGGACAAATGTAATTAAAAAATCATTTTCAAAATTCAGACTGTGTCAAGTTACACAGTGTTGGAGGAAAGTACAGTAGAAACCTATGTAGTATTAACACTACTGATTTTTTTTGAGCCTCATTACATCATTCCTTGACCCAAAAAGTCTGGTTAAATGAAAGGCATGTAAGCAAGGTAAGAGACAAATCGCTCTTTTCACACGCATGTATTTTCAGCCAAACACCACGTTTAAAAAATAAATAAAAGAGGGAAAGTTATATTACAACTTTGCTTTTTTCAGGTAATTTTGTCCACTACAATATGCAATCCACTCCTGACATTCTGCTTGTGACACCAGAAGCACAATTCAAAATCTAAATAATTCTTGGAGATACAGAACTTCAAATGAAGAACAGTAAAGCTTAGGCACTAACGCCTCAGTACTGTACAATGATACGCTGGTTTATTTGCAAGTATATAACATAACAGCCTCAGGCTACAATGAAAAACTTGTCTGCTGCCAAAGCTCTAGTCTCTTTTTTCAGAGTATGAGATTAAGTGTGCCCATTCCTACAGGAGCACAGAAACAAACAGAAATATAAAAGCAGATCAATGGAGTCAGAACACCCTACTGACAAAACCAATCACACACCCAAGTGCCTTCAGAAAAATGCCGTCACTACTGACTGAACCACAGAAAGCAATAAGAGATGCTGTTTCACAAAAACATCCAATTTTTTCCACTTAGGGCCCTGCTACACATTCAAATTAAATCTGGATAGAAAATAACTGGAGAGTTGCTACATATTTTCAAGCACTAACTTTATAGCTGGTTGGCTCTTTTATAGCTGGACAACCATTTTATTATGTGATAATAACTCGCCACATATGGCTAGTCTAAATTTATTGTGCGATTCACGCGTTAACTGTCTGATAGTTACTTTGCGTTTGTGGCAGGTTTAAATTTATTGTGCGATTAAGCAGTTAATTGAATAATAAATGTAACATGTAGTAGGGGCGTTGCTCTTGAATCTCTATGTGCTTACTTTTGAATGAGTGCCTCAATGTGGCAGGAGACTTAATACCTACAACAGAAAATCCTGACATGTCTGACAGTAGGTTTTAAATATTATTTTTTTCACTAATACAAGCCAGTATTTAAAAAGGTTCTTCATTTTGTATGGACAAGGTCAACTACTGAAAAATTATTAGGATTATTATTGGCATTAGGGAGTTATCTAAGTATGCTCATAGCAAGCAGAGCTGGTCCAGACAACTTCTGTGGAAAAAGGGGGAAGGCAACACAATAAACCTACAATCACCAAATAATCATCTAGGTTTGAAAGGTGATTTTGTTTTTAGCGCCTTAGACAAATACAGTTCTTCTAGGAGTGTCTTCATTTCAGCAGCTATTTACTAGAGGCAGCATTTTATTGTTATTGCCCCCAAAGCCAGTCAGTCAAAATTTACATAATGCCATTGCCACCAACTTTCACATGCTCTTCTCTACAGATAAAGGATTAAATACCATCAGAAAACACTTACCTGCATAGGGGAAACTGCAGCTGCAGGGGGTGTTTTCATGGGGCTTGGACTGAGGGGGGTACGAGGAATTGTGGCCGTGGCTGGGCTTGGAACTATTGGGGGGGGGAAAAAAAAAAAAGGGTCTATGACATGCTCCATAGTTTTCAGTGAAAGAGACCATAAGTGTCCATGCGTTCATATTAAATTCGACCCTTACATGATCACTCTGACAAAACAAACATTGGCTCATATTTGGCAGTACTATTTTCACAGAAAACAACTTGTAGCATTTTAAAAAATGCTCAGAACATGGCATCTGTCAACTACTAAAGCATGCCTGCATTGCAGAAGAAACAGAGCTGTATAAAATTACATTTAGCAGCTCATCACAAAACACTTCCCCCAACTTAGGTGACATGGGAGGTTTATACACCAAGCTCAAGTGGCTTTGCCTTTTTTTTAACTGGGTGGGTTGCACACTTTGCTGCTTCTGAAGGTCAAGTACATTTTCACAAGCCAGGAAGTCCACTGTTCCCCACATACTCTCATGCAATCCCTCAAGCTCTATACCTGCCAGGGCTTCTATGTACCCTTCTTTCTCCCCTCCTGTCCAGACAGTTGTAGGAAAAGAGAATCCCTATTCCCACTCTCCCACCATTGGCTTTGTTTCTTCTCTTATAAATCATTAAGCACATCAACATTTTTAAACTGTATGAGAGGATGGGCAATGCAAAGATGTGGAATCCTATTTGACTGGAAGGTGTCAACAGTTGTAAAGATGGTTATTATTTCTTGGTCTGCTAGATGCTTCCCATATAACCCATTTTCTTCCTTACAGCTTTTCCAATTCTTATCAAAATCAGTGTGAAGTCTACAAAGCCTAGGACATATAAAGGTCACAGAGTCAGGACTGAGAATTCACTTTGCTCTGCCAGTCAGCTGATTTTCTAACAGCATGACTAGCAGCTGATGTGAATCTGACCAGGGAAGGGCATGGAAGCGTTTTATGTGACTGAAGTGGCTGAAGCAAGAGTTTCTTTGTCCCAAGAGAAATAAAAGGCAAATGTTCTCTCGATTCCCTCATGTTACTTCCTCCCTGAATCAGAATTGTATTTCTTTTTGCAATTGCTATGAATCAAGCAACTGCTAAGTTAGCAATGAGGAAGCTAAAAACTAGAAGTATACATTAATAGAAAGAATGCAAATGTAGAAACATTACTAGCTGTAAAACCACTATGACTTATCAAATATGATGCAACATAGGACAGGTCTTCAGGCAGAGAGCAATTAAAAAGATCACCTGTTCATCATTTACTTTAGGTCACAATGGCCTTAAAACAGATCTAAAAAATTAAATGCAATATACAGCTACACATTCCCCCTTCACACTAGAGTAATTTAAAGTGACCTTTAAATGTGATTCACACTCAAAAATTCTAAGAAAACTAATGCCTAGTACTTGCAATTTCTTTTTTGATCTTCCTGCTCATTTTTGGAGATGTGAAAGAACTAGACTCCAAGCCCATCTCTTCAAAAAGAGTCCTAATATCAGGGCATAAAACTATGCTGGCTGTACATCTCATTTTATAAAGTCTCTTGGCACCCCAACATACCCCACTAAGGCAAAAAGGAGCTGAAAAACTTGGCTGCAGTCATAACATGGCTTCTAGAATGCTGAATTTGGAACCTCTATTAATTTCAGTAACTCATGGCTGGAAGCACAGCTGAGTGCACAATACATTTTATATCCCTAATGTGTGGGAGTGCTGAATCAAAGGCACCTGTATCCAAATCACCAGGTAAGCGACAGTGCAGAAAAGTGAACACTGAACCCCTGCAGTAATGATGGAAAGAGATGAAAATGAGGGCCCTTCCAGACATGCAGGTACAGGTGCGGTGGGATCTAATACGTGATCCACACAACTGCACTTCCTCCCATGCCACGTTTGTGGCAGAAGGTGCGATAGTGGGATCATGCACCAGACACCATCACATCTTACCGCTAGTGAAGGGGGAGCCTGAGATCCCTTTGCACGAGCAAGTAGCAAGCTCCTGTGGCTAGGAGTCCCGTCACATGCCGTGGGTCCCAGACACACAGGTGATACCATGTGTCACGGCAGCTGCATGTCCCATGGAAATGCATGGTGTACCCCACTGGCTAGGAGCTCCATCAACTGATGGGACTCCCAGCTGCAGCTGCAGACCCCACCTTCAACAAATGGTGTGATAGGAACCAGCTAAAAAGTTATTACACTTTTTTGTGGAATAACTTTGTGGCTTATTCCTCCTTTTATTATGCCATTAATTGAATGTGTGGCCACATCACACCTGGTTAATCATGTCTTAAGCATAAGTGTACCTAACAGTAAAGTATCACCAGTAACATGATTTTGTTTAGGAGGGTTTGTTTAAACCCTTATTTGTAGGTCACAACAACACAGTCAAGCAGCAGAATTCTGAATTGGCTAAAATAGCAGCAATGTGCCACTTTAACATACACAAATCCTTTACCTTCTACAGTTACTACATTAATTGAAATTAATTACCTTGTGAGGCACTGTCAAAGGATTTGATGAGTGTTTTTACAGTAGGAGTTGGCTCTGAGGAGGTGGAGGACCTGCGACTCAGCCCCATTCCTTGTCTGAGCGCTGCCAGATCTCTCTCTACAGCATTCATATAATTGTATACTCGGCCACGTTCCTCTTCCTGCCTGGAAACAAGAGCTAGGCCATCTCAGAGACACTGGGAAACAAATCTTTCTTTATGACAAAAGGTCTAAATGTGAACCCAAGAACTGAGCTTATAACCCTGCTCTATATTAACCAACTTTTCTATTTATTGTAACTTTGAGTTAAATTACCAGCTTTGGATTTTTGGTCAATTTAAAATATTTGTCAAGTAAAGCCATTTGATGCAGTCCACATATATGTGGCTTTGGCAGTGGGAGGGGTTGGCTGCAAGCACTCTCCCCATGCTGCTATGGGGAAAAGCAGCAGTGGCAGCTGGGTCCTCGTGCCCACACTTCTCTGACCCAAACTGGATCACTCTGGCCTGCAACCTAAAAGGTTATCAATTGCTACTGAAGAATATAGTATTGAAGAACAGGTTCATTTTCAAGCTGGACCACACTGCTTAGTAGGAAAGTCAACTGTAGCTGCTTTTCAGCCAGAATATTAACTATTCTAATTTATTTTATTCATATTGGTAGGAGAACTGTCAGTGCAAATTCAAGCCTTGGCTTCAGTATGAGAATTGAAATAGTTCACAGTTACGTATTTACAACTTAATAGATAGATTTCCTAGGAATAAAGATAAGAACACAAATAAAAATGCTATATATACAAAAAAAAGCAAAAATGGGGAGAGCCAACTGGGTAAGAACCAACTGTTTTTCCCCTCTAAAAGGTGCAGGCAAGTAAGCAACTGCATTTGCAAGAGTTGCTGCTTCCTTGCCATGTCCTTTCCAGGGAAGTTGACCCAAAGTCAGTGATGCTTATATGCAAAAGTGCCAAAACCAGTATATTTCCTCTACTGGAGGAAAAGAAGTATGATCCATATAAAGCAGAACTAAACAAAACAATATAACCCAACCAAACAGGCTTGCCAGTTTTCCCAAAGTGGTTTCCAAAAATATGCAGAGATCAGAGGCTGACATGTTCAGTCCTCAGAACAGCTTCTTGCTCCATAACCTTCCGAAGTCTCAGTAACAGCTAAGCAATTAACCTCTGAAATGGCCAAAAAAAAAAAAAGCATAACTCCCAATGTTTAACATACTTGCGAGATTTTATTTCTTCTAGCTCCTTTGTGAGCTTCTCATTTTTCTCCTGAGCTTCATGAAGTCTACGCTTTAAGTCTCCTATCTCCTCCTGGGCTTCAGATTTGATATCATTTGCTATGACCACTGCAGTCTGTAGATCAGCTTGGAATTGGCGCCATTCAGCAGACTCTTCCTATAAAGAAACCACATTTTAAACTGCCAGCAACAAGAAAACTCAGGTCAAAAAAGAAGCACTTGTGCACCATTCCACTGCATCATCAAAAGGAATGATTTAAAAGTGATGTTACTGCTGACATATAAAAACGGTAGAAAAGTAAAATGCTACTTAAGTGTAAAAATTAAAGTACAGCTCTGGGAAAAAAAACAGGTTCTTGGCAGAAAGTCCTGAAATTTCTTTTCCTCTAAAAAGTAAAGATATTTATTTAAAAAATACTGTACACCAGACAACACAAAAAATGGTTTATTTACTGAACATATGCTCTTACGGTTCCATTTGTTGGTCCCTGCGACCTAGTAACTTTATCCCAACATGAAGACCCTTTCTTCAAAATAAATAATTTTATCTGCTTTTATAAACGAAGTATTGTTCCCTGTTCCACTCATTAGTAAGTCTGTATTTACCATTGATACCTGTTAACATCAGCAACATTTTCTAGAAAGCGGTTCCTACCTGAATGTGCCATGATCCCACTTCTTTTCATATAACTTTGAAACATTTCTGGTAGGTTTTCAAAGCAATGCAAGAGTAATATAGATAAACTACACTCAACCATTACATATTATGTATTTCTTGCTGCAATATGTCTTGCATATCACTCCTATAGCATCCTTCTCACTTTAGTCCTTACTGACACATTGGGTTTTAGCTTTAACCTACCCGGAGCCTCCTGTGAAGGTTCTTTATTTCTCTCTCCATATCATGCTTTTGGTCCTGAAGTTTTTTAACTGTATCTGGAAAGAGAAGTTAAATTCACTTTAAGACAAAATCTTACTGAAGGATCTGTTTGCCTCTGAAAAAGTAACTGAAGCTCCTTGTTAAAAATCTCTTTCCAAGCTCTCTTCCCCTCCCTCCCTTTATTTATGCACACACCTCCACACCACTCCCCTTTCCCACCAGAGGCATTTTTGGAAAAACACTATGATTAGAAAAGGTTTAACGTATACTTTTTTAAAAGGTATACATGCTTAAGACTGAGCATGACGCCATTTTGCAAGTGTGCACTGCTGCAACTGCACATCACTCTAAACTTTAAAGTTGAAGGATTTTCACTTTTCTCCTGTCCTAGAAAGAACCAGCATCTAAGAATGGCTCATGCTAAGTGCAGTGACATGGAAAGATGCTAAGTAAAGGCTTCAAAACCACCACAGTTTAGATGGCCTGAAATATTTTTTCACAATAAAAAGGAAAAGATGAGTTACTGCCCCTACTGAGTTAACACTTTTGGGCACTTGAATATGTCATGGGGGTTTAGCCCCCTAAGCTGAAAAGGTGGGTTTAATTGTGACTATTAAAAGCCTACCATTCCAATTTAGGGGCTTCTGTCACTGTTGCAGCAATAGACCCGATCCTCCCCACCCCCGGCGGAGCCTGCTTGCGTCTCCCATGGCTGGGGGGTGAGCTGCCGGTGGGTCGAGCAGCCCCTGAACTGCAGAGGGGCCCCTTGAACTGCAGCAGTGGCACCCCCAGAGTCCACCTGGGTGGGCCACTAGCAGGCTGGATGCTGCCCCAGCTACAAATAGCTATGGTGCAAACTAAACTACATGCAGACGTGGTTTAGTATGCAGTGGGACAAATGCATTTAAATTGCAAAAAAAACCCTGCATGTGTACAGCATGATGCAATGAAACTGCAAAATTGGGCAATTTTAGTCATGTGTACAAGCAACCTTTCTTTCCTGCACAAGGTAGCTGTTGCCAGTACCAACTTCCCCAGCTGTGACTTCTATAGGGAAGATTTATATTCCCACCCTGAAGAAACTCACATTCTTGTGTATCAGAACATTGTTTGATATGGGAATAAGTTATATGTAAAGCACAGTGGGCAAGCATTACATCACAGTCAACAAGATCAGAGCATGGAAGAAAGATGTTCCCTTAAATCTGTTAGCAGCTACACAAAGAGTAAGAAGCTTGATCACTACCAACGCCTAAACTGTTGTCTGACAGACAGACTACTGCGATTATTCTTCATTTGTTGCTTTATTCAATGCTCCAGGAGAATAGTATGATTGATTATTCCATTCTTAAGTGAGCCACTGATGAAGCACCACATGGAATAAATTTTTCATTAAGTACCGCTTCACTGATCCTTGGGTCGTAGGGGCATTTATTTCTATGGTACTGTGTATGTACCTGCAAACTGTAAAGATGCAGGAGCTGCTGATTTGTAGAGTTAGTTATAATAAATTATGCTTTGTATTTCACGTTCATACTACTAAGGGCAGTTGTGAAACAAACATTTTATGCATATGTCGACAGCACTTTTTTCATAAGGTTGCAAGTATTCAACCTTTAGCTATTTAAAACATAAGAGCTGGACAAAACCTTTGCAGTAGTGTGCACATACCTTCTGACTATTCAAACATCCACTGAACATTAACTGAAACTAATTGTCAATGTAAAATTGTATGATCCTTATTTCATAGTAAAATTAACATTTCCAACATCTTTACTTGATTACCAGATACAATTACTATGGCCAGGGAGCACTATGAAACACAGAATTATTTCTAGATCCTTAAACTTGACTAATCTTCCTGCTTCCTTTTACCTTGTTTCTGAAGTAGAGCCCATAATTTTGATACCCAGAGTGTGTCCTTTCATCTTTTGGCAAAGGGATTCTTTTAGCATGAAATGAGACTCAGTAGCATATATGGTGGACTAAACAGAAAATACCATGCAGACTGCATTTATTCACATAAGGCTACTCTATTTTGAAATTCTGACCCTGATGCCAACATGGCAGTATT